CTGCATTGCGGCTTCGGAGCTCTGACAGGCGCCCGAGCATTACAGGGCAGAAGAATCCCAGAACTGGCGACTGATTCTGAAACGTCCTCCCGCGTTTTATTGCAGACTGGATTCCAGGCACGCTGAAATGCTGAAGTTCAGCCACTTCTCTGCTGCTGTCCCGGGACTCCATGTTACGTTTCTGCCCGGTTGCTTGGCTCTTCTATTTCAGTGGCAATACTCTCCTCCTATTTATACACAGAATGGCTGGGAGTAAAACCTCGGTGTTTTCCCGCCTTCCAGACCATGCCGTAACCTGTTCTCAGGCACCCGACCTGACCTTGCTTTGTTTGTTCTCCTGGGCTTATCTTGTAAAGATCGATAGATCTGCATCTCGGCTTCCACTTTCTGCCCTGCTGCAGCCTGACCGTGCCTTGGGCTTTTCCGAACGCCGCTTTCTCTGTGTATGTTCGACAGTGTGCGCACTCGTCGTGTGCTCTGCTTGGAACAGTTTCAGTGTAACTGCTGAGGGGGAAACCCAACTCCGCTTCGGTAGGGTTTGGAAGCCCTCCAGTTGTCCGGTCTCTGCGCTGTGCAATCCACGCGCTGTTCTGTTCAGACTCCACACAAACAGCAGTGCTGGGTTTTCGAGATCGCTTACAGCTGTCTTCCAGCGTGAAGTCCTGAACAGAACAGTGACCAGGCGACCCTTATGAAAACAGCTTTTAAAAATACGCAAGCCCAGTAATCCACTTGGACTGGATAAGGCCGGGGTGTACTTCTCGCTGGATTCCAGCACTGCTTCATCCCACGGCTCCTGCGCTGAAGATCAGTGTCAGGACGGCAATGTCCCGTTTCCTCCTTGGAGACAGCATGGCTTCGCGGAGCCAAAGAAAAACGAGCGTTGCTAAATTTAAGCCTCAAGAGAAACTTCAGGTCCCTATAGAACAAGGTTCATATAATGGCTGGTGCAGCTGTCCCGCTTCCACTGTGCCTTCAGCCGGTTCAGGTGTCCCCAGGGCTGGAGGAGTCTGAGCAGGCCCAGCGGCAGCGCACGCCGACTCACTGACCACTGGTTAAGGTTGGCCGCTGTTAGTGATGCTGACACAACATTTTAGCATTCTCTTTTTTTGACCGCCTGTGACCGGCTTACTGAACAGAGTTTGGTATCTGAAACGCTGCCCAAAGATCTCTGGAGCAGTGTAAGGTGATGAAACGATCTTACAGGATTGATGTTCTTGAGAGACGTCCTTGAAGAAGTTCAGAGGTGGATGAAAATGGCTAGAGGAAGAAAAAAAGCCAATAGAAGGTTGTGGGAGGAGACCATAACGTACGACCAAATAGTAACACTGTTTTAATATCTAGTTGTATTTTCAGAGGGCATTTCCAAACTAGTACAGGAGCAGGGGAGAATCTTCAAATCCTCTTCTTTCAAGTAAAGATTAAGAATTACTGTTCTGTTTTTACAGGTTATCTTATGAATGAAAGAAAGAGCTGAACAGATTGTTCATGAATTCTAGAGGGCACCTAGGTTGAAGCAATGGAGAGAATGGTACTAGTATGCATTTTATTTTTAGACTGTAAAAAGACATCGATTTCAAGGGGAAAATTGTTCTTTCTGACAGCAGTAAGTAGTCGCAAATACAGGAGAGAAACTCTTCGCCAGTCCATAAACTTCCACTGACTCAGTTCATGGGAAACCTTGCGGGGGGCTGTGAGCTATGATCACACCTCTCATTTCTTGACAATTTCTGGCACTTGTTCAGGCTTCACAGAATACACATTTGGGGGTTTTGTTTTATAAGCACTTTTCTTTGACTTATTTTGTTGGAAAACATGCACTGCAAACCTCTTCCTTAGAGGGTCTTGAAGTTTCTGCTTATTTTCTGAATCCGCCTTCTCATTTAGCCTTTGCTTCACAGGAGCCGTGGAGATGTCTCGCAGGAGCCCTTTTGCCTCCTGGCTTTGTGCTATGCTCCACTGCTTCGGAAGTTACATACTTGCTGATCTGCTACTTGGAGAATCACCCATCGATTACTTCAGTAATAACGCCAGTGTCATTCTGGCCACAGCGGTCTGGTGAGTCTTTGGCACTTCTAAGCATGAGGCGTCGTCGCTGGCTGCGTACGAAACCACCCGGCGCGACGGGAGTTACTCTGACACGCATGTGTTATCTTGCTGGGATTAACTGAGGAGAGGAGAGGTGGGGTGAGGTAGTCTTTGAGTCTTTTGCATTCCTAGATGTAGTTTCCAGTTTCTCTGACCAGTTGTCAGTGCTTTGACTGTATGGGCTGGGTCCAGCCCAGTCGCCGGGCATTTCTATTCACAGCTGCCGCTGCTGAACTGTGGCCAAATCCCAAAAGCAGCGTGCACGCACCGATACCACGGATAGTAGAGGAGTGGCATGCAGTGAGGATCTGGGGGTGTCTTCTCTGTCATGTTAGTGAAATGTGCACAAATGAACCATGGTTACTCCAGGTTTAAGTTCCTGGGTGCATGTGGGTTTAAATGCTTTTGTGTGACAGAACGAGCATTTCCTTCTCCCTGACAGAATTCAGGCTGACACCGCAGTACTCTTAATCCTCTCCCTACGTCCCAGATCAGGACAAACAAATGGATCCTTAAACTCTTTGTGGTTTTGTTCCAGGTATTTGATATTCTTCTGTCCCATGAACCTCTTCTACAAGTGTGTAAGCTTCCTGCCCGTGAAGCTCATCTTTGTGGCAATGAAGGAGGTGGTCAGAGTTCGCAAAATCGCAGCTGGGGTCCACCACGCTCACCACCGTTACCACCACGGGTGGTTCATTATGATGGCTACGGGATGGGTCAAAGGTGACACGCGAGATACTCTTAGCGCAGCAGGGAGGCACCCAGCCCTGGGGGAGGGACGGGAGAATTCCTGAGGGAAGCTCAAGGTGACCACACCGCGCAGTGCGGAGCAGCAGGCTGGCTAGTGGCTGGGGTCAGCTGGCTTCGCTCAGTCGCGTTCCTGAGAACACAGGAATTTATTCCTGCTTGCAGAATGGCTGTCAGCTGAGTCATCATCTAACTTTAATGGGGGCGTGAAGAACTGGAGTCACTATCGAATACGGGTGTAGAATTTGGGAATTCTTTATTCTTTCTCCCATGTTCTACTGCCTCTGGCCTCGCCTGTCTCTTTTCAGGGGGGTTTGATCAGTGTTGAAATAGCCCAGTCAGTTTTCCTTTAGCTTTTGTTTGGAGCAAGTGTTGGAGCATCACTAACCAGAACAGAGGCAAATGCCCTTTCCCTGCATCAGGAAACACTTTCTATAAAGTCACTTGCCCTGCTCTGTTGTTTTAGGCTAACTTTAAAATTTGGGAAGAGTGTCATGGACCTTTTGTTCCCCTTAGGTTATCCTTAGCCCTCGGGGATCTAGGAGAGAGAGCAGAGCGCTCTTCTGGAGTGGCAGTTCTAGCTGTTCGCTGTTACTGTTTCGCAGGTTCTGGTGTTGCCTTGATGTCTAACTTTGAGCAACTGCTGCGTGGGGTCTGGAAGCCAGGAACAAATGAAATTCTTCATATGTCCTTGTAAGTAGGTAGCCTGTAAATTCTCTGTCAGGCCCAAAGTGGAATTTAAAGAACCATTCAGGACTGGATGCAAACCTCCTAGAAAATATCTTTATTTCTCTTCTAGCCCTACAAAGGCTAGTCTGTATGGCACAGTCCTCTTCACTCTGCAACAAACTCGCTGGCTCCCTGTCTCTGAAGCCAACCTCATCTTCTTTTTCACCATGTTCATGATAGTTTGCAAGGTAAGTTTACAGCAGGTTTGCTGCTAACAAATCTACAGAACCAGAGCAAGGGTACAGACTTAAGCTGGGGGTGTTCACCTTCCTAAGGCACTGTTTAAGGCATGGGCTGTACATACCAGGAAAGATCTGCTCAGGAAATTATAGGCTAAATTCTCCATCATGTGGGCAGTATGGTACGAGATCCTTGTGATACAGACTTGAGTCATGTAGCAATAGGGACTTTTATCTGGGGTAAGTGGAATGCTCCTCACTAGTTAGTATATCTCATAGCTGGTGTATGTGATCTTTAAGTATTCCCTGTTGCACGGCAGGTTTTGATGACGGCAACTCACTCTCACGCCTCACCTTTTGCTCCAGTGGAAAGCTTCCTCTGCCCGGTTTTCTTTGGCTCTGTTTCCAGCGGACACAGTAGTCATCATCATGATCACCACGGGGCCTCCCATGAGGCTTCCCATCCTCCGCCTCCTCCTGCAAAGTCAAAAGAGGAGCTAAATGAAGGCACAAGGAAACGGAAAGCAAAAAAAGCTGAATAAAAAAGCAACCGCACAGTAAATAGGCCAAGAAAATTCTTCCAGAGCCGAGTCTCAAAACCACCTGTGACCTCCTTTACCTTCCAGTCCTTCTCTCTCAGACTCCAGAGGAGAGGTGGAAGCCAGGACACTGCCAGGCGGGTCCCTGAATTTCATTTGTGCTCTCTGTGCTGCTGCTTGCTTCTTGGTGTCTGTCTCTGCTCTGATCATATCTTCAGGGATTTGTAGATTTGTGCCAGGATGAGAAGTGGGTGCCAGTTCCCAAGCTGTCAGCAATTATCATGCAGCATTTTCAGTTGATGTAAAATCTTTCACTGTGTTTATTTATGAATGGAGGTAATGGTTTGTGCTCCTGCAACTCATAAGTTCCTTTGAGTTTTCATTGACCTTTTTGATGTCTACCAAAACAACAAACTGTTTCGACACAATCAATGTGGAAATTTGATTTCAAACTCAAGGAAATTAAATGGTCGCATATGAGCCTGATCTGATTTTTCCTAGCTCGCACATCTGCCATATCTCCAATTAATGTGACATTTTGTATGCAATAAGGACATCGACTCTGGTGTCCTAGCCAAACTCCGTTTCTCTCACCTAAGTTCCCTCTGATTCTTAATGGCTAGAACGCTGTCGCTTTCTTAACTAAGTCTGTGTTTGCAAGAGCTTTCAAGCTGTGAAACGCTCCGAGTGCTACGTATTGGTACTGTTATTATTCTGAACTGTTGTGTAGCATTGCTGCACGCTGTTAGTACTTGTGTCCCACCTCAAACCTGATTGTATTTAACTAGGGAAGAAGCATGGTTCTGGTTTGTTTGTAATCCTGTGGGATACAAGAAAGGTGTGTGAGTGTAAGTATTTATTACTATTTATTTATAATTGCCAGGGCACCTCAGTCATGGACCTGAAACTGGCTTTTTTTAAATGTTGCATCTTTCTATAGAGATCGGATACCTCTAAGTATGGTCCTAAGCCCACAGCTACATGCTGGTCTGTGCTGGAAGCAGTGATTTTGGTGTGCTCAAGGACAGCCTCAGCACTTTCACAGGATGCAGGAAAGAACATTTCCTATATTCTGAAATTAAGATATTAAGACGGAAGAAGTGGATTTCACACCAGCTGATTAAAACTGCTTTAAAGGACTGATAAAAGCACACCAGCCCAAGACAGTGATCATCCTTTGTAGGTCCCTTTTGGCCAAACTACTGGTCTGTGAAAGCAGCTTGTGCCCAAGGAGTGAAGAAGAATATGAAATGCCTTGCATGGCTCAGGGAGGAGTCTGTCAGTTTGTGCACGTTCTGCTTAGTGAATACTGGCTTTTAGACTAGTTTTAAGCTGCTCTTATATCTGATTTTGTCCTTAAAAGTGTCATCATCCAAGGGCTGGGATCACTGCGGTGAAAATGGCACGCCTGGGGATGTAGCACTGGGCTTTCAGTCAAGCAGCATACTGCCGTCCCTCGCAATAAGGCTGTCATTTTGCTGTCCTCTTGCAACTGGGAATATAAACAGGAGGATTTCAGAAAAGCAGGGGGTGTGTGGTTTTTTTTGCGTCCCTGTTCAAAATCGACACTTACTAAAAAAAAAAAAAATTCTTATGTATAACCAGATGAAAGCCAGTACAAAAGGTCAAATGATTTGTGAGCTTGGGTTTTGACAGTGCCTTAATTTTGTGAGTTTCCCTCCCCTTCAGTAGAAGCCAGGAATTCTACCTGACAAGTCAGCTGTCTGGTTTTGCAGATACCGGTCTACTGAAACCTGATGTATCACTAGCATGCACAAGACTATAAATGTTTTATGACATGTCTGATAATGGGAGTTTTGTTTTATAAAAGCCATCAACAAATAAAAATTGTGAAGTGACTCTGACTGTGCACTGGCACTTGAGGAAATCCCTGTGTTTCTTTTGCTCTCGCCAGTCTCGGAAGCCACACGCTCCTTGATCTACTTAAAGTCTCCTTGACCCGATGACAAAATGATTCGAACTGAAGAGAGAGATCAGACTTTGCGATGTCCTACGAGTATGCGTGAGCATGCTATAAATGCAAATAACATGGTAAAAGGCCCATTGCTTTTGTTGTATTCGTAATGGTGGTGTCCAAGCAGACTTCTTGAGATTTCAGGGAGGGAAATAAGGACACTTAACTTCCTTTGGTGTTTATACCAGTTGACTCTCTCTTTCCATTTGTCACTGTAAGAGGAAGGAGGACATTCACCTGGGACAGGTAAATATACACAGGCGCATACAAGCACACACCATTCTAGAATATTTATATGGAGTTTCAGTATTTCTATTTAAAACTGAAAAAAATCAAAATGTTTTGAATTAGTGTGAATATTTATTTAGCGTGGTACTCTTAGCTGCTGCTTTTTAAGTGCCAGGGCCCTTGCTCTTCAAAGTCTTTTGGAGTCAAATCACAGCTGCTAACCAAGAACAGATAGGAGAAGTACTCCAAGAGACGTCGAAATTAAAGCTCTGTACACCTTCAAAGTACCTTATCTGGAATGGGATTAGTATTGAGAAAGCAACTGCCATAAAGAAGAATCACAAATTTCATTTAGTGAAGCCTTTCATAGTGAGAGAGATGGAACCTTTCTTGAATTTCCATGGCTCAGCGCTGGTGGTCTGTGGTACAATTCCAGACAGGTGTCCTTCATCCCAAGAAGCAAAGCTGGATCTTTCAAAAAGCGGCGTATTTTAACCATTGCTGCAGAGACACAGGGTTCTGCAGGGCTGCTGCTACACTTCTGGGAATCCCTAATTTACCTCTACATATGCTTCTTCCTCAAGACTCTGCTCCAAGCAGAATGAAAAGGGGCATTTCCCAGAGGGACGAGTAACTTGTTGCTATGGCACAGAGATGGGAGTGATGAGGAAAACATGATGCAGTCGATCTACCTGGCTCACTAAACAAGGACCTGCAAAGGGCTATTTATTTTCTGAAGGGTTTCACTTGTTTCCCCCAAGTTCTCACTCTTCTAAAATGTTTATTAGTACTCCTTAACTTATCAGAACAGTTGAGAATGTAAGTTGTATTGGACTGTGGGATTTAAAGTCTCTGTATGACCCAACCAATGGAAAAGAAGGTCAGTGCAAGCCTTATGCATATTAAAAAACCCTCCAGAAAAAAGCACTAGAACGTTTCATGTGGTTTAAGCATTCTACTCTCCTGTGACATCCACTGCAGTACTAGGAACTTGTTTTGCTCAGGACCTGGACAGAACAATAAACGAGCAGGCTGATGAGAGGAGGCATGTGAAGTGCTTTGAAAAATCCCACGACATCTCGGGAGTCCCACGCGTGCTGGCTGTGCGGAATGTTCCTGGCTCCAAATTCCCCTGCAGCACAGGGCAGGGGAGAAGCATGTCAGGGCTTAGACTGCCATAGGACAGACGTCATTCCCTCCAAAGATGTTCTGATCTGATAACTCCTGATACTAACTCTAGTGAGATGCAGCTAAATTTAGCAGCAGGTTTAATCCTCAACGAGGTCCTGGTTGCCTGATGGAAAAAGCAAAGTGTTTCAGTTGCTGCTCTCAGCATTTCTTGCTGATTGACAGGTTTCCCTTTTCTGTTACATGAAGCGAGCCAAACCCAGTGTCTACAGCTTTTTCATCATTGCAGATCAGCTGCACAGACAGGGAAAGCTTTACAGCCCTTACTGTGTTCATAGAAAAAAACCCCAAACTCATAGGATAATTTTACAGAAAACATTAATAATTCTTCACAGTAAATGACCTGAAGTAAGTTCAGTTCATGACCCAGGAGGCCGAAGGAAAGAAGTCCTGTACTGAAGAGCTTATGTGAGAAAGGACAAAGCCAATACAACAGAGCGTGAAGCTAGAGCAACCAGCGCTCTTGTTTTCCCCTTTTATTTTTAATGACACTATGTACATTCTTCCACATTCTGTCCAAACAGGAACCAAATTATATACTCCAACTAAGCGGAAAGACCCAGAAGAGAAAGCTGGATGTTACCTCGGCCATCTCCTGAGCAATAGAAAGTTGTTCCTTTTAACGCTTGCCAGGTGAATAGCTGCCAAATGTCTTCCTGCAGCCTATTTCATGGCTGTATGGGGCGTTAAAGGGGTAAAGCACTAGATCCATGCTGAGAGGGTCAGCCCAAATAGCACGTGGGACACATAGGAGCATTACAGATTACGGCTTTATGCATTTCAGAGTAGCACATCTTTATTTGGGCCCTTAGCTACAATTGTCTGCTCTACAGTTCTTGTGCTATTCTTTAAAGGACCCAAACCGTAGATACCCAGCTTTTTGCTGCAGCAAACATTTTTTCTCTCAAGATATTTTAGTTCTTTGCCAAAATAATGAGAAATCAGAATATACATCTATCAAAGATTTTCTAGAAAACTCATAGGTTGGTTTTAGTATGAGATTCTTCCATCTTTACTAGGAAGACAGGATGCTGACAAGGCAAACTACTAGCAATGGAGAAAATACGCTATTGATACCGAGGTGGAGACAGTCACTGCACGCAGAGGGCTGATATTTGCCTCTTCAGGACGCTCTTACTATTGGCCCCAAGGAGATCTGGTTTGTCCTGTGTGCCCATCCGCTGTAAGGAAAGGCCAGTTAAAGGGGTTTGGATTTCATCAGACGCCAACAGTGTGGCTGTTGGTAAACACCCACAAAATTACCTCCCAGCTAAGAATTTAATCCTGCTCTCATGTGGTCTGTAAAGGCAGCAGTCTGTGAGCAAGCTGTTGGGGGCTGACGGCTCACGGAACAGACAGACGGTGAGAAAGCAAGTTCCCTATCATGCCAGAGCCCACGCTGCCATCATGACTCACAGTTGCTACTCACTTCACCTCTGTGGTGACACTTCTGACAAAACGGAGATGTTGATCGTGCCAAGATCAACATCCACGAATATCTTTGAGTCTGGTCTCTCTTTTACACTTGTGCATTACCATCTTTCTCACACATTATCCCTAGAAAAAGTACCATTTATAATCTTTTCTATCATGACCCTTACCTATTTCCTTTATGTTCCAAAAGAGAATTTGGGGAGGAAATTAGGGAGCTTGCGGAATAGAACCTTTAAGGAAGAATCAGTGTGAGACAGTGATTTCATCTCAGCTTTAGGGCACAGGTAGGCTATAGACTTGGAATGCAGGAAAACAGGTCTGATATGTTTAGAGGCTTGAACATTTTTGTAGCCTGAGGAAATCCAGAATGTCCCTGGAAAAGATTTGGTTGGTTGTTTTTGTTTGGTTTTGATCTGCAAAATACAGAAAGAAACGTACCCCACGTGTGTTTCCTGCAGAAAGCAAGCTGCTGCTTTTCCAATTATCCGAGCGCCTGATGCTTCTCCATCGAGCTGGCAGATCCTGACTTTCCAAAAAAAGATCTGCTAGGTGGGGATTTCTGGTCCCACTGCAGCCAACGGCTGGAATTAGTGAGTGAGCTAATTTTCATTGATTTGTTAGTGACAAGAATTGGTGTAATTAGTGATAACGACAGGTATGCATATAGCACATAGCACGTCACAGATTGCAGTGCCTTGAAGAACAGCCTAAAAATCCATGACTTCAGAGTCCTGATGTTGGCTTAAAATAGATTTAGACTAATGTAGGCTAAACCCTAATGCAGGTTCCCTGTAACGTTTGTCTCTTAAGGTAAGATGCTTCGTCTCCCTGCCTGTTTGATGTATGATAGGTTAGGATGTCGGTTAATCTCTTCTTATTTGGCTAGATGACTGTGGAGATTAATCAAGTATTGTCTGCAAAAGGAACCCATAAATACAGATTACTAATTTTTCTTTAATTATTCCTCTGTATGCCAGAGGGATACAGAGAGAGTACAGACAAGGATGGACACCAGCTTATTAAACCTCATTTCATGTGAGAAACAGAAAAACCACAGCAGCTGCTCTGGCTGATACTGTTTTTTTCTGACACACTCAGTTCAGTTTCTTGGAAAAGGCAAAAAGCCACAGAAATAATACATTACGGTCTCCTGGGAGAAAATGGGGAAGCAGAAAGTGGTTCTGAGTGAGTGAATCTGCTTGGCTGGTATAGCACCATCTCTGTTTCGACAGGATGTGGAGAAAGCAGCATTTCTTACGGGAAAAGCTACGCTGAACAGATACAGAAACACATATTGAAACAAACTGAAATAGTCACGTGCTGTGACTACTCGAAAACGGACCAGCATGGAAGAAAGACATGGAAAAGCATCCTCTGTGAACACGAGGTGGAGACACCCGTTCTGTTAGGGCCTCTGCTGAGGTGGCTGCACCCATGACCTTCTCTCCCTGTGCATTTGGACAAAGATGGCTTTCCACTTGTTCGCTGTGGACAGTTGCAGTTTCCTGCCTTTGAGCTTGTAAATTATTAAATTTTTCTTTCTACCTTTTCCCATGTGCTGCTCTTTTGGCGATGGTACCCCAGTCCAAACGTAGCCATAAAGTAGTAAATATTTATTGTGCACAGTTTAGATGCCTTCTAGTAAATTCACTCTTGCACAGCTTGACAGAAGGCAAATAATGACAGGGCACAGGCATACTCCCTAGGTATTAAGAAACCTACTTGAAATGGCCAAAAGTGTTGGAACCACAAATGATACTAGTACCGGCAGGCTTACCTGATGCTAAAATACACAGGTAAGTATTGCTAAAATAGCCAAGGGTAGTGAACAAAGGGACCTCAGGTGTACAGCACCTGATAGGGAGCACATTTACTGCCTTAGAAAGAGACGCTGGGGATTCTGCCCAAAGGACAAACACCGGTTGCTATAGAGATATCCGTCCTCTTCAGATACAGATGGATCCCTCCAGGATGCGGTGCAGTTTCACTGCATCTCAATGCAGACAGTCAACCATTTCCTACTGTTCCTGTCAAAGTAGCTGAAATTTTCCCAGGCTTTCCTTAAAAGGAGGCGGCAAGCCAGCTTTCTGGAGAGAGGCACCACTGACTGGTGTTCATTGTCATAAGTCATCTCCTCTCTAACGAGCAGTCTCTGCTGAGGAGAGCTCAGGGAGTCCAGAGCAACATGAGCTTCAGTCCGGATACACGCCGGGATCTTCTCTGTGGGAAGATGGTTCCTCTTCCTTTCCAGCCCTCCAGCCTGGTCCGAGTCTTCATCAGCTCAGATTTTTCAGGTAAATAAGCTGAAAGGTCCTGAAGCTGCTGAATGCATCGCACACTCTCTCTGCTAGAGTCTGCAAAGCGTTACTATGCGGTGAGACTAGTGTGCTTAGCAGCGAAGCTGTAAGCTTGCAGCTTTGTTTGAAAGTGAAGATGCCTATCATCTGCTGCATTTTATATACAGCTTTATTGTGTCACACCCAATTTGCACTTAGAACATGTCAGAGATGGCAGAATTCCGCATTGGTTCAGGAACCAATGGCACTTGCAGTGAAGCCAAGCGCAGCCTAGGCACTGCTGTGCAGTAACAGCTCAGGGCAGCGCAATGCCTGTCTGCACACAAGACAGCAAGTTTACAGGCTTTCTCGAAACCCCGGGCAACTCATTTGATTCCCATCCACCACTGTAACAGCAAGAAATATTTGTGAACAACCTCTCTTCTTGGACAATATCCAAATACTTCCCACTTCCTTTGCCTACTGGGGCACAGTTGCCAGACTGAGCTCCTAAAGTGGTAACTGGCAGTGGGTAGCAATGACTCAGATTTTCAGGAATTAAAAAAACTCAGATTCCCCTTCTTCCGAAAATCATGCACTCTGTGTCCATTTTTAAATAAGAAAACACAGACTTAGATAGGCTCTCAATTCCATAAAAAGTGCCTTCCAAAGAAAGAAAATCCTGCAGCGCGTCCTCCCGCGGGAGACAGTGTGATGAATACGCTGTCTGGACGGTGAGGTGTTTCCAGCCTAAGCAGACAGGTCAGCGTTTACAGAAACAGGTACAGCTGCAGTTTCTGGAAAGAATGTACGAGAACTGCAGACAATCTGAAATTAGTGGGCATATAAGGACACAGCTAGCATTAAGATTTCACCTGCAACACCTGTCCAAGTTGTAGTAGACCTCACATATTTTCAGGAACAGTTTTGGGACTAAGGATGTGACACATGATTGGATTTTCAGCAAAAGACAGGGTTATAAGTTAAACCCACTCTCTCACTGTGAAGTCTGGAATCCACGTGGGCTGGGGTTGTAAAGCCATACAAGGATTTTCCATAACTACTGGAGTCTTAGTGAGAGCTAATGAATTATTCCAGGGGTATTACACTGAGAGTGCTTGCTCCCTGTTGGACAGCAGCGCAGACATGATAATTCCTAACCCAAGGGAGCCCTTTCCTCATCTGACCTGGCACAGACTTCATTAGCGATCACTTTTCACTTAGAACAGTCCCAAGGAAAGCTGCAGATACAGCCATTCCCCACCCTAATTTTAGTATGCCCTCTTGTACTACTTTATCACACGATGATGTAGTGCCATGAGTGTTTACAAAATTTTGGGGAGAGAATATTCCAGTTTTGAAGAAATTATAATCTCACTGATGAAACATATATAAGCAGAATAACGTCCTTTATATTCCGCTTGTGTTTTCATTTTGCAGGTGTGAAAATTATCTGTGAATGTAAGAACTATCTATGAGTGAACAGGAGAGGGTGCACGCATGTGTGTCGGGGCGATCGGCTAAGTCCTGCCCCGAGGGTCGCGAACCTGGAGAAGCGGCGGAAGAATGCAGCCGACTCAATGTGAGTGATAAGCAAGCTTTGTTTATTACAGTTTGGTTACACAATTTATAGAGTGATTAATTAGCTACTACATATTGCAAAGTTAGAGCTCATTATTGGCTAGCCAGCTAAATGTCAACTCCGCCCATACTCCCTCATTCTTC